ACCCCCACCCCCAGGCCTGCATAGACAGGTAACACATTTTCTTACCTCTAACTCAACTCATGTCAACTGTTCCAAGGTAAAGTGGGCAATGAAGGGCTCCATGATCTTCCCAAGAAGATGGACAATATATCTGCAATGAGAACTAGATGGAATGCATATATCACCTTATACCCAGAGCTTTCTTTTTTAAAAAAATTTTTTTTTCTTTATTGATTTTAGAGAGAGAGGAAGGGAGAGGGAGAGAGAGATAGAAACATTGATGAGAGAGAACATAGATTGGCTACCTCCTGCATGTCCCGCACTGGGGATTGGGCCCACAACCTGGGCATGTGCCCTGACTGGGAATAGAACTGGTGACTTCTTGGTACTTGGGTCAATGCTCAATCACTGGGCCACACCAGCCGAACTATTCAGAGCTAGCTAGCTAGCTAGCTTGCTTGCTAGCTCGCTCGCTCCCTCCCTTCCTTCCTTCCTTTCTTTCATCCTCACCCAAGAATATTTTTCTATTTATCTTCAGATAAAGTGGGAGGGAGGGATAGAAAAACAGGGAGAGAAAGAGAGAAATATTGATGTGAGAGGGACACACCAACTGGTTAACTGATTGCTTTCCACATGGGGATGAACCACAACCGAGGTACGTGCCCTTAACCAGAATTGAACCCGTGACTCTTTGATTTGTGGGCCGACACTCTAACCGCTGAGCCAAACCGGCCAGGGCCAGAGCTTTCTTTATTTAGTATCTTACTTTCTTGCTTTGGATATATAGAAGGATAATAGTTAACATTTTCCTCCCATGCTTCCCATTTGCCAAGTGCTATTCTAAGCACAACTCTGTAAGGGAGGTACTGCTATTATTGTTTTATAGATGAATTAACCAAGACACAGAAAGGCTGTTAAGAAACTTGCCTAAGGCCACACAACTAGTGAGTGACAGAGCCTGCATTTAACTCAGGTGTCTAGCTACAGAGCCCACACCTGTAACCATTACATTTGACTGCCTCATTCCTGTGTGTCCCAGGAATATACCCATGAGTAGATGTCAGCAAGGGTCTACAATTCCTGCTCCTAGGATGATTTAAAAAAATGGATCACAACCCCATTCTACTTTGTTGGTGTTTCTTTCCAGGCCGTGACCATAGGCAAACTTTCTGTGTCTATCCTCATTTTCAGCTTGGGGGTCCAGGGCTGATCAACAATGGACAATGCCTATATTCAGCTGAGGGCCGAATGCTGTACAGGATTTATCTTTCTTAAGAGTTAAAGTCTTGCCATCAAAATAACCAAAGAAGGGTCTAGTGCAGAATAGGGAGGTACCCCTAATGTTGGCAGGCCCTAAAATTGAGAGAGGTCAAGTCGGGGTGGTGCTGGTGCCTATGGGTGTTGGAGTTGGCCAGAAAGGAGTGAGAACCACGGCCCTGCCACTTCCTAATTCCTCTCTGTGAAATGGGCTGATCATAGCACTCAACTCCTGAGAGAAGTAAATGAGACTATGCTAAGGCAGTGCCTGGAGCACATCCTCATGGGAACTTTGTGAGGGTTAAATGAGCACACACATGTGAAGGGCTTAGACCAACTCTCGGGCACCTGGTAAGCACCAAGGAAGTCATACTCTTCTAACTCTTTCTGGGTGATTTAACTTTAAGGGCTTTAATTCTACTTCAAAAGCTCTATCTGCTGATTTTCTTCTGAGCTGTAGACCTAATCACTTCAATGTTTAATAGGACTTTCCACTTGGAAGACTTACAGGGCTTGCTCATGCTCTGGTCCTCTGTGTATATTTGGTAGCTCTGCTTAAAAAGCCAGCTGTTGAGGAAAAAAGGCCCTTTACTTGGTTTGTATGTTTTGGGTGGCAAAGAATAAAGACTCATAAAGAAAGCTCAAGTTAGAAAAGCTGCAGAGAGGCCCTGAATGGGGCCAGACCAGGCTGGAGTTTCAGCCCTTGACTAGCCCAGATTTGTTGGCTGGGTTATCTCGTTCTGCAGGCTCCTCCTTTGGGCAACCTTCCCCTGGGAGCAGGCCTGAGTCCTGACTACTCATCTGCCCCTAAGGGGTAAGCTGGATGACTGCATATGGCCCCAAGGTCTTAGGGTGGCTTTCCTTGGAGATCCTGGAGCTCGGCCATTTTATTGTGAGGCCCTCAGAGGCACTAGCCTCTCTTCTATGGAAGCTCATTTCCAAAGCTTTGGCCTTGAGTGCTTCTCCCCTCTCCCAGCTCACACACCCTTGGCTTTGTGACGCCTCTCCACCTCATTAGTCATTTCCCTTCTGCTCCATCGCGTCTAAACACTACATATTGTAGTTATTGATGTCCAGAGCTGGTTCTCCAACTAGGCTGTCAGCTAGCCAGGCAGGGAGTGTGTATAATTCACATTTGCATCACCACCACCACCAAATGGGCCATCACTGTTTGCTGAGTGAGTGACACATGAGATCTTCAGTACTTCTTTGCGGGGGTCACTCTCCTAAAGAGAGGCACAGGGGACTCTCCAGCAGGGCCTGGGGTGGCATTTTATTAAAATTTTTTAAAAGTAAATTAGTTGTTTTAAAAATATTTACATAATTAAAAAATAACATGTGCATCAGAAAACATTTAAAAAATTCTGAATGTGTAAAGTTAAATGTTAAAAATTCCCCTCACTTATTTTCCAATCCAATATGCACAGGGAAATACCAATAAAAATTTTTTAACAGCTCTATTAATATATAATTCAGATACCCTACAATTTGCCATATAAAGTGTAAAGTTCAGTGTTTTTTAGTATATCCCTAGGGATGTGCAACCATTACTACAACACAATTTTAGGATATTTTTGTTTCCTACAAAAGAAACTCTATTAACTGTCATTTCCCATCACCATCCCTCTCCCAGCCCTAAGCAACCACTGATTGATTATCTTCCTGTCTCTATAGATTTGCCTATTATTGGACATTTCATATAAATGAATCATAAAACATGGGGTCTTCTGTGTTTGGCTTCTTTCACTGTGCATGTTTTTGAGGGTCATCCATGTTGTAGCATGTATGGGTACTCCATTCCTTTTTATCGTTAAACAGTATTACATTGTATTAATATAGCACTTTTTTATCCAATCACTAGTCACTATTAACAGTTTAAGACATCTCCTGTGTTTTTTCAGATTGTCTGGATTTGAATCCCTGATGAACAAGTTCCTAGATAAGTGACCTTGGGTAAATCATAATCTTTCTAAGCCTGCCTCTGTTTCCTTAATAGTACATTTTGAATAACAATGGAATTTACTTCATATAGAGTCATGAGTGTATGTCAAAGTAATTAATATTTGTTGAGCACTTAACTATATGCCAGGCATGTTATAAGGATTACCTAACAGCTCTATGATTTTGAGATTAGGGAACTGACATTATCTCCCAAGGTCAAACAGCCCCTAAGAAAATGCTGGAAGTAAACAGAATCACAGGCTGACCAACTGCATAGCCTTCACAATATCATGGAGTAATGAAGTGCTTAGTCACAACCTTGCAAAGAGAATGAGTTTAGTAAATAATAACTGACAACTATAAAAAAGCAGAAAAGGCCCTGGCCGGTTTGGCTCAGCGGTTGGAGCGTTGGCCTGCTGTCCAGAGAGACCCGGGTTCAGTTCCCACTAAGAGCATGTACCTCAGTTGCAGTTTGTCCCCTGCCCTGGTTGGGTCGTGTGGGTGGCAGCTACTCAATGTGTCCCTTTCACATAGATGTTTCTCTCTCTCTCTTCCTCTCTCCCCCTCCCACACCATCTGAACAAAAATGGAAAAAAAAAAAAAGTCCTCTGGTGAGGATAAAAAGCAGAAAAAATTGACTCACCATCTAAAGACACACACCACTTAATATTTTGGCACTTTTCCTTCCAGTCGTTAGGAAATATTTCAAACATACCAAAAAAAAAAAAAAAAATCCAGAAGATAATAGACATCAATCTCCCACACCTGCCTTTTAAAAATACATGAAATGTAGATTAGGTGGCTCTACCTCCCAAACCCTTCAATGGTTCTCAAACTTCCTAATGCCACCACTCTTTAATACAGTTCCTCATGTTGTGGTGACCCCCAACCATAAAAATATGTTCGTTGCTACTTAATAACTGTAATTTCGCTACTGTTACGTCTTAGGCAACCCCTGTGAAAGGGTCCTTTGACCCCCAAAGAGGTCGCAACCCACAGGTTGAGAACCACTGCCTTAGATATTTTATTCCCTCTGTATTATTTTTCCTTAGACTATTAGGGTCACACCACCATCATTATCTAGTTTTAAAAATCTTTATCCTGAGCATTTCCCCCAATACCAAATATGTTATATGACTTTTCATGGCCGCATATTATATTGTATGACTGAAACATTATTTATCAATTCCCCATTGTTGAGTATTTAGGCTATCTCCTAGCAAAAACCATCACTACACATCATCTTTCAAAGAACCTGCTAATTCCCTTCAGATAAATCCCTAGAAAGGCCAGAAAGTCAGACTGCATGCCGTTAAGGCTCTTGATGCGTAATTTTTGGCTATCAGCTCTCAAGAAAGAATGGGCACAGGGAGAAGGCAGGCTGGGATTTCTTTTAACCTTTTAAAACGTTTTATTCAATTATAATACACATACATAAAAGTGGACATAGGTGTACAGCTCACAGCATTCTCAGCAATGTACACGCCGCGTACCCAGCACCCAGACCACGAAACCACCTTTCCAGCAGCCCAGAGCCGCCTCACCCCTCGGCATCACCACTAACGCGATGACGTCTTTGCAACCTCAGTAAATGAAGTTTGGTGTAACCTAGACCATGAAAACATGAGCTAATTCCCGTCTGCAAACGCTTGACAAGCTGCAGTGCGGCCGGACGAAGAGACAGAGTACTGCCATTGAGGGTGGCAGGCGGCACAACGATCGCGCGGGGTCCGCCAGACTCCCGGCGTGCCGTGCGGCGATCCCGGCGTGCAGCGCGGCGCGCGGAGTCGGGGACCCGGCGGTGGGCGCGGACGGCGGAAGCGAGACTGTTTTCGAGCTGACGGCGGGCGGCGACGAGGCGGGGTCGACATGGAAGTGTAAGTCACTCCGGGCGCGGTCCTGGCTGTGCGCCGAGGCTCGCAGCTGGGGACGGCTAGAGGTTGGGAGCTGAGCGCCGAGGGCACTGGGCGCCCCTCGTCCGGCCTTGTGGCGGGGGCGACGAGCGGGAGGCGGGGAAGGAGACTCGCTCCGCTCCTCTGCCCTCACACCCACCCGGTGCCTAGGACCCCGGCCGCGTGCCTTTCAGTGTGCCTGCTTCCTCTCCTAGCGTTTTCGAGGTGACAGTGGTGAGCCCCGCCCGGTATCTAGCGCGGACCGAGGCGGAATAAAGCCTCGAGTCTGCCCTGGAGGTACCTGGAGGAGAGAGGGATGCACTTTGCCCGGGCAGCGGGCTCTTGGGGAGGCCTGACTCGGAAGAAGGCTCTCCAAGTTTGAGGAGGAGCTGTTCGCCCTGTAAGGGAAGCGGCGGGTTTTCTGGGAAGAAGGAAGTGCTCGAGCCTGGATTGTGGCTGCACAAACAGCGCGGGTTGTGCGTGTGTCGAGGGAGTAACAGCCGTTTAGCTGTTTAACTCCACGTGGTCTTTCCCAGCAAGGGTCTTTTCCATGTTTGCTCATTACTACATGCACAGGGCAGTTTTGGCAGCCACTCCGCACGTGGGTTTTTGCATGGCTGACATGAATTCGTAGGCATATGTATATTGTGTTTGTCTTTGGCACTGATTATTTAATACTCACATTTTCCCTGTATGTTCTTTTGCCTCACGTATAATGGTCATATGAACTGTTTTTCAGACTTAAAAACACACACAATATGGGTATGTGCCTGAAGTGAAAGCTTCATGAAACAATACCTATTGTATGCAGTACACTCTGATAGTGTCTTGTCAAACCTACTCAAAAAGAGTCAGGAGGCTTTGGCTAGAAATAAGTGACAGAGATTTATTCAGGGGTCTTAGAAGTGGCTAACTGGAAACACAGGCAGAAACCTAGAGGTGTACCTAAGAAGAAGGAAAAGTTGAGTTCTTAACAGTAAAAGTCATATCCTTGAGAATAATCAGTGCTGCGTTCTTAGCCCCGGGATTGGTCCGGGACAGTTCTTAGTCAGCTGTCAGGCTGTCTGGATGATGAATGTCAGGTGGCCTAGAGGGCGGGTGCCAGGAGGTCTGGTCCTGAGTCCATTAGGGGATAGTCAGAGGGTTATCTTTGGGTTTTGATGTATGTCAGGGCATTGATGCTCAACTGGTGTCTTGTTATTAATGCAGGACTGGAAAGTTCTAAAATTTGAGTTCTCACACTAGTTAAGACAAGAAAAAGAATCATTTCCTCATGCCTCCATCTTCAAAATGTAATAATTTAGAAGTATGGTTAAAATTGCTTCATTTGCCCTGCCTGATTTGGCTCAGCAGTTAGAGCATCGGCCTGCAGACCAAAGAGTCACGGATTGATTCAAGGGCATGTACCTTGGTTTGTCCCCGTCCGTGGTCCAGTTGTGCCAGAGGCAACCAGTCTATGTGTCTCTCACATCGATGTTTCTCTCTCTCCCTCCCTCCTATTCCGTCTGAAGATAAATAGAAAAAATATCCTCAGGTGAGGATTAAAAAAAAAAGTAATAAAATTGCTTCATTTAATATATTTCTATATTCACTCTTTCCTCAGTCTCTTCTCATTTAAACTCAAACCGAATGTTGACTCACTAAATTGATTTTGCAATCCAGTAATGGGGTTTAATCTGAGACTTAAAAAAATATTTGCATTGCTCTAGCCCAAGCCATCATGATCCATTTCCCCCTTTACTGAAGCATTTCCTGTCAGCGTACAAACCTGTTTTAATTTATCCGTATTAAAAATTTTATTGTCGAACTTCTAGTCAAGATGACGGCGTAGGTAGACGTGGTATCGCGTCCACCCAAAACCATATCAAAGTTACAACTAAACTACAGAACAACCATCATTTGAAACCGCCTGAAATCAAGCTGAATGGAAGTCCTACAACTACAGAATTAAAGAAGCAGCCACATCGAGACTGGTAGGAGGGGCGGAGGCAGAGGGGCTGGTCTTGCACCCACGTGTGGCAGATAAAAATCAGGACACCTTGGTTGGGAAGGTCCTCCCTGAGGATTGAGGGGTCCTGACCCACACCAGGCGCCCTGCTCAGGGTTGCAGTGCCAGGAAGAGAAGTCCCCATAACTTCTGGCTGTAAAACCAGTGGGAACTGAGGCAGAGGGAGGCTGAGGCGGCTGGAGCCCTAGGCAGCTCCTCTTAAAGGTCCTGCGCACAGACTTATCAGACTCACTCCCTCTAAGATTGGAGGGGAGGCAGCTCGAGGGGCGCCAGAGACATACGGGGAAGAACTAAGGGGCGCCAGAGACATACGGGGAAGAACTAAGCTGTTTGGCATTGGAGCAAGGGCTGGAGAGGGGGCTTTCTCCGGGACAAAAGTGTTGTCAGAGACCTTTATTCCTTTGGTGAGCCCTTTCCTTTGGTGGCAGACAGCCGCCACATCTGGGACTCGGGCAACCTGGCTCACACTGGTTGCCCCGCCCCACCCAACTTTCAGGCCCACTCAAGGTGTTGCCAGTTGCTTTATCATAGGATTGGGCTGTCTTAAATCCTGCTTTAGGTTTTCCTAAATTCTTTCAAACAAGCAGCATCTGGTCTCATCTAGCCCCATACCTCTCATTAAGTAATACACAGAAACAAACACAGGGAGGCAGCCAAAATGAAGAGACAACGAAACAGATCCCAAATGAAAAATCAGAACAAAATTCCAGGAAAAGAACTAAGTGAAATGGAGATAAGCAACCTAACAGATGCTGAGTTCAAAATACTGCTTATAAGGATGCTCAATGAACTTAGTGAGAACCTCAGTGAACTTAGGGAGGGCCTCAAGAGCATAAAAAAGGACCAGTCAGAAATGAAGGATGCACAGTCAGAAATGAAGGAGGCACTAACTGAAATAAAGAATAATTTACACAGATTCAATAGTAGAGTAGGTAAAGCCAAGAAGCAAACCATCGATTTGGAATATAAGGAAGCAAGAAACACCCAATCGGAACAGCAAAAAGAAAAAAGAATCCAAAAAAATGAGGATAGTGTAAGGAGCCTCTGGGACAACTTCAAGCGTGCCAACATTCGCATCTTGGGGGTGCCAGAAGGGGAAGAGAGAGAACAAGAAATCGAAAACCTATTTGAAATAATAATGGTAGAAAACTTCCCTAACTTGGTGAAAGAAACAGACATACATGTCCAGGAAGCACAGAGAGTCCCAAACAAGATGAACCCCAAGAGGTCCACACCAACACACATCATTATCAAAATGCAAAACTTTCAAGACAAAGAGAGAATCTTAAAAAGCAGCAAGAGAAAACTGTCAGTTACCTACAACGGAGTTCCCACAAAACTTTGTCAGCTGATTTCTCAAAAGAAACTTTGCAGGGCAGAAGGGAGTGGCAAGAAATATTCAGAGTGATGAAAAGCAAGAACCTACAACCAAGATTACTCCATCTTGCAAGGCTGTCATTTAGAATCAATGGCCATATAAAGAGTTTCCCAGACAAGAAAAAGTTAATGGAGTTCATCACCACTAAACCGTTATTATATGAAATGATGAAGGGTTTTTTATTTTTCTCCATCCTCACCTGAGGACATTTTTCCATTTTTTGTACAGATAGAGTGGGAGGGAGAGAGAGAGAGAAACATCGATGTGAAAGGGACACATCGAGTGGCTGCCACCCGCACGACCAACCAGGGCCGGGGACAAACTGCAACCGAGGTACATGCCCTTAGCGGGAACCGAACCTGGGTCTCTCCGGACCACAGGCTGACGCTCCAACCGCTGAGCCAAACCGGCCAGGGCGATGAAGGGTTTTTTGAAGAAAAAAGTAAAATGTATGAACAAACAAAAAGGCAATGAATACATATCTATCGACAACTGAATCTACAAACAAAATAAACAGGCAGAATAGAAGCAATCTCATAGATACAGAGAACAATTTGTTGGTTGCCAGATGGGAGGGGGTTTGGGGGAATGGATGAAAAAGGTGAAGGGATTAAGAAGTACAAATTGGTTGCTAGACTGACAAACCTTAAAGGGAAGGGGATTGGGGGGGGTGGGAAGAAATAAACCAAAAAACTTACATGCATAATCGATGGACACAGACAACAGTGTGGGGAAAGGCAGGAGGGGGGCGGGAGTGGGGAGGAGCAGGAAAAATGAGGAACATCTGTAATACATTCAACAATAAAGATAAAAATAAAAATAAAATCAATAAAAACGTTAAAAAAAAGTTTGTTGTCCCCACATTTATGTCCATCTACTGCTTCATTTCTGCTTCCTGTCACAACAAAACTTTTTAGAAATGTTGTTTATCCCCTCATTCTCTCAGTCATTCGGTTGGGCTTTCATCCTCAGTGGTGTACAGAAAGGGATCTGTGAAAATTCCTTGAGCCCTCCATGTTGTGACATCTCGAGGTTGATTTTCTGGCCTCAACTTTCTTGATCTCTTAGCAGCATTTAATACAGAAACTCTAGAAACTCTTGGCTTTGTGACATGCTCTCCTGGATTTCCTCCTACATCAAGGACTACTTCTCTGTCTCCTTTCCTGGCTACCCTTCTTCCTTTCTTGGTTTCTAAATGTTGAAGTATTTTAGGATTTAGTACTAGAACTCTTTTTCTCCACACTCTTCCCTCATGGTCATTTACCCATCTATATGCTGCTGATTCCCTTTACTTTCATTATCTATGCAGTTGCTTAGACCAAAAATCTAGCCCTTTTTCCTCACCTCTAAATCCAGTCCATCAGCCAATACTGTCATTTCCGCCTTCAGAATATATTTTGAATGCAGTTACTTTTCACTCCACTGCTAATTTTCTAGTCACCATCTCTGGTCTGGATTAAGCAATAGCCTTTGGCTTTCACTCTTGCCCGCCCCACTCAGTTCTGTTTTCCACACAGTAGACAGAGTTACCTTCAAATGTTAATTGGACCAGGTCACCCCTCCCATTCCCGCCAGCCCTTTATTGGTTTTCTGTTGTAC